CTCATCTCCGGAATCCTGCCAGAAACTAGGAACATTATCTGACGTACTGTAGGTCCTCATGAAGTGGGTAGGTGTTACCTACAACAGTGGTACGTGTCGAGCTCATGCGCGTTTGGGTCATCTCACTGCTAAAGACCAGTTTAATGCAAGAAGCCAACGGAGCATTTTCACCTGCTGAAGGACATATACAGATGTTGACTCTGCTGGTTTGCGGACATTTTGTCATCCTTTACTTTGCAAGGCTCAAGGCCCCGTTCCTATAAACCCTAAACCCTAAACCCTAAACCCGAAACCCTAAACCCTAATCCCAAGCCATAATCCCTAAATCCCTTGTAGCTGAAAGTGGAGGTGGACTTCAGTATGTACACTGAGGCTCGGCATGCATGCGGACAATGAGCCGGACCTGGACAGGGACTCTCCGATCGTTTCGGTTACGTGGCACGCAAGACAGCCAGCAACAAGTGGCGAAGATTGCAAGTGTTTAGGATTTGCTGCAGGGTTTAGGGTGTTTCAGAGTGCGATTCTTTAACTTAATTCGTGCGATTGGTTTGTGCGTGAACGCGAATCAAACTTGCAGAGATCCTAGGCGCAGATTATAATGGCCGTGTGCTGAACTTCGCCCAAACATATGCTAGAATCAGCCCCTTTCCTCTGCCATAGCTGCTGAAGTTTGCATGTCCCCGCACTCTCAAGCCACTGGACACAGATCTCCACCACTCTACTACTCAAGCCTTCCTGGCATGATGTCTATTCTAGACTGTAGGTTTTCTGTCTAGCATTGATGTGCATTCGAATCTCATTTCCCAAGCACAGGTCAGCTTTGGCGCGACACGAGATTTCGTCATTCAGGCAGCGCTGAAGACTTTGCATGCTCGGTCTGTGCCAGTCACGGGTGATGTGGAGGTTTCCGAAATTAGGGGGTACCTTCTTGGGGTCCCTACTATAAGGGAAACCCCCTATGTGGGGATTTATATTGGGGTCCCCTATTTTTGTAAACCCCCATGTCGTGACCCCCTCCCTATACCTTCGACACTTGGGTCCTTGGTGGCCTCCGGCCAGGACAAGGGCGACGAGAAGCTGAAGTGGGCGCATGCCTGAGCTGCCTGGGTCGATCCGGGTGACCCTAAACCCTGAACCCTAAACCCTAAACCCTAAACCCTAAACCCTAAACCCTGAACCCTGAACCCTAAACCCTAAACCCTAAACCCTAAACCCTAAGCCCTAAACCCTAAACCCTAAGCCCTACACCCTAAACCCTAAACCCTAAACCCTAGACCCTAAACCCTAAACCCTAGACCCTAGACCCTAGACCCTAGACCCTAGACCCTGGACCCTAGACCCTAGACCCTAGACCCTAGACCCTACGTAGACCCTAGACCCTAGACCCTAGACCCTAGACCCTAGACCCTAGACCCTAGACCCTAGACCCTAGACCCTAGACCCTAACCCTAAACCCTAACCCCTAAACCTTAAACCCTAAACCCTAAACCCCGTTCCGGTGAGGTGGTCTCCCTGGCTGATGGCTCCTGGTTCGTCATGGGCTCGGGCCTCAGGAGATGGCAGAGTGTGGTGAGGCAAGGGCCTGCGAAGTGCAAACGTGAACAGCAGGGCGGACACAACTTTAAACTTCCGCAGCTCAGCTGTACGACATCTTCCAAGCTTGTAGCACTCAACGCAATCATAGCTTGAGGAAGCGGTGGAAGGAAAACGATGTGAAGCGATGTCGCTTTGTTAGAAGCAGCTGGCACAGAGTTTGGGCTAGCGATGCCCTTGCAGTGAATGACCCAGAGAGCCCAATACCCCTTAATTAAGGAATATAGCTTAGATTATAAAGGGATCCTTATTATGAATTAAGGAATATTCCTTAATTAAGGGGTATTGGGCTCTTTGCGGAATGAGCCTGACAGAGATGCAAGAGCAAGGTGGTGCCATGCAGCAACGATATCTTCATGGTGTGCCCGGGCCTCGCTTCCTCCTTCACAGCATGAACCCTAAACCCTAAACCCTCAACCCTAAACCCTCAACCCTCAACCCTAAACCCTAAACCCTAAACCCTAAACCCTAAACCCTAAACCCTAAACCCTAAACCCTAAACCCTAAACCTTAACATGAAGCTCGGACGAAGCTCTGCCAACAGGCAGTGCTGCCCAGAGCAATCCAGAACCCCGACATGCACAGCTTTCAAAAATCTGTCCCGGGTTCATCTACTATAGCCCCCTTGGGAACGATTTTTTCTATTTTTGTTTATATAAAAACCCAAGAGGATATTAAACACATTTTTTTTTCACGTTCTAAGGGGAGTATAGGTTCGTCTCTAGTCATCTCAAGAGTAGCCAGACTTTGCGTTAAACCCAGCGGCCTGAGTCTCATGAAGACGCTTCCAAGCCTTCCGAGCGCGAAGCCACCGCTTTGGAGACTCAGGCCGCACGGTAGCATGCCGGGCACCAGGATCAACCTGACATTTCGAGTGCGAACCTCATCTTTCTGGGGGGCTTCAGGCTAGGGTCGGTAGGTGTTGTGTATGTGAGAGAGAGGGCCTGAGATCATCTTTCGGGGGACCGGTTGAGGGCTTCTCCAGTCTTTGTTCTGGCGGCTTAGGCGAGGCATTGGGGTATCATTCAGTGGGCCAGTGCCCCTGGACAATTGCGTCACTGAGAGGGTGTAGGCCAGCTTTGCCCCAAAGAGTTGAGAGCATCGAGGCGTCGAGAATCCGCAGTAGAAAGCGCTTGCAAGGTCTGCATTCCGCGGACTCCGGGCCCTGCGTGAGCTAGCCGCGCTCCAAAGTCAGACCGGCTTCCAGCAGGACTGCCCCATGTGGTTTGCAGACGAGTTTTTCCGTCGTGTGCAGGGTCGTAGCCAAGGCCTCGTAAGACTGTCGTGCTGTGGTTGGTTCGATCCCGATTTCTTTGGAGCCTGGCCCTGACACCTCCGTCGAAGTCCGGGTCACGTCTACAAAAAAAGAAGAGCCCCAAGGGGCCCCTGCCGCAAGATGCCGAACTCCCTCATTACTGGGCTCTCAGTGTGAGCAGCAGAGTGTCAATAAGGGCCAGAGAAGGCCCATCACAACGATGCCGACAGCATGTGACACAGCTACATTTACCTCGTATTAAGTGTCTTACATATCAGTGACCATCAGCTAAGCCACTATTTGCTTAAGAGCCCCGAACAAAGGAAATTATTCTTCCTTATTAAAGGTAATACAGGGATCATCATGTTTATTCTTTTGGGGTTCTTAAGCAAATAGTACCCTAAACCCTAAACCCTAAACCCGAAACCCGAAACCCTAAACCCTAAACCCTAAACCCTAAACCCTAAACCCTAAACCCTAGTAAGCCGCTTGTTTTGAGCCTTCGCGGCTGACCATGGAAGAGACGACACTCGCCAAGCTCTTCCGCAGCGAGTCTCTGGAAGCGGTGCTCCGTTGGCACGAGCAAGGGCAGAAGAGGCCTGGGTCAGAGCGAAAGTTGGGGGTTTAGGGTTTAGGGTTTAGGGTTTAGGGTTTCGGGTTTAGGGTTTAGGGTTTAGGGTTTAGGGTTCTTTAGGGACCTTTGCCTGATGGCTTCCAGTCCATGGAATCCCATAGTACTACCGGGTCCTCAGCAGCACTCTGAGCTGCACCCAGAATAGTCAAACATCTGCTAGATTTAGGTCAGGACACGGTTTAGGGTTTAGGGTTTAGGGTTTAGGGTTTAGGGTTTAGGGTTTAGGGTTTAGGGTTTAGGGTGAAACCAGAGGCTCTCCGTTGGCCTGGAGCTGGAATGCTTCCTGCCAGACCTGGCAGGCTTGCTGCCGGACCGCCTGGTGCCCCTGCGCGACTCCCAGGAGCTCCTGGGCCAGCTACTTTTAAGGGTCGGAAGGATTACTGATAATAAATTCCTTTCGGGTCCCTTTAGGATGATACTACAACAACCCCCCAAAACCTATTCTAACTATTCAGGCCCCTATATTGCCCTGGGCTTAAGTTTTAGTTTATGGTTGAGCTGAGAGGTCCTCAGACTGAAAGCCCATGAAAGCCTAAGGCTCTTCAGGCTTGTGGCCCAGGTGCTCTCAGAGCTTGTCGCCGATCGCGGCGCCCAGAGGTGTCGCTCGAGCTCTCACCTCGTGTCCGCCGAGGCCTCTGACTGGGGCCGGCTGTGGACGACCACGGCCGATGGCTCCATACAGCCTCAAGGCAACTAGGTAGGCCCTTGGGATATTTAATATTTTCCCTCATTGGGTTTAAGAGGATCATATCTAAGACTATTTTTCAGAGGGTCTGGTAGGGCCATCCAAGGCAAGAACCCCTTCCCTGTGGAGCTGGTGTCGAAGAGGATGGGCTTCCAGGACTTCGACGTGACCTTGTTCTGCGATGTGGCGCACGCCTTGCGTCGCCCGCCCCTGCGCGCAGAGACCAATGAGTCGACTGGGATTCACGTCCACTTGGGCCGCTATCCCAGCTTTTTCTCTGTCGAGGAGGTGGCCGCCATCATGAAGGTCTACCTGCGCTTTGAGCCCGTCATCAACGAGCTGTTGCTTCCTGTGACGCGGCAGCGCAACCGCTTCTGCAGGGACCTGAGGGAGGTCCTGGGGCGCGCGCAGGGCCTTCCAGCATCGGAAGCATCGGATGAAGTGCTCTTTGCGAAGATCGATGAGGCCGTGGCCTTTGCGCGGTCCCTGAGTCCTGAGGCCCGGGCCGCCTGCCTCGAGGGCTCCCGTGTGTGCCTCACGAAGGATGAGCTGCTTCTCAGTCTGCTGGGGGAAGGTGGGCTCTGGCGGTTGAAGCGGCCCGTGCATGCCAAGGCTGAGCGAGGGAAGGAAAGTCTGCTGCTGCCTGCGGGCGTGGCTCTCGTGGAGCTGTCGTTGGCCGGAGAGCTGCTGTGGAGGCCTCCCACCCGCAAGGACCTCCAGCTGCTTTGGGGCAAGGAGGGCGATGCACCAACCGAAGCCGAAGCCGAGCCCCCCACGCCCTGGTCGGCCCTGGAGAGCTTGAGCGACGACACGGAGGTCTGTGCGTGCTTCCGCAAGCCAGACGATATACCTGCCGCCAGCTTGGAGCACTGGCTGCTCAGGGATTTGCTGATCATGGAGCGCCACGGCACGCGCTACTGCAAGCTGAACATCATGCGCATCGCTCAGCCGAGCGATCGGGCCACCATCGAATTTCGGCAGTTTCCAGGCGGTGACTTCAATCAGCCACTTCTGATTTGGGGTTGGGTCAAGTTCCTGGGCCTTTTGGTGACCCACGCCTGCGCCTGCGTCAGCGGCACCGGGGTCGAGACGGTCGAGCTGCCGAAGGAGGGCTCCGAGGAGGTGCCTTCGGAAGTTGTTTATTGGCTTCCTTCTGGGCTTCTAGGGTTAGGGTTTAGGGTTTAGGGTTTAGGGTTTAGGGTTTAGGGTTTAGGGTTTAGGGTTTAGGGTTTTTAGGGTTTAGGGTTTTTAGGGTTTAGGGTTTTTAGGGTTTAGGGTTTTTAGGGTTTAGGGTTTAGGGTTTAGGGTTTAGGGTTTAGGGTTTAGGGTTTAGGGTTTAGGGTTTAGGGTTTAGGGTTTAGGGGCACCACACCCCGAGTAGGCCCTGGTAGTACCCGCGTAGCCGAGCTCAGGAGTTGAAGCGGTTCCTCCAGCTGTCTTCCGACAGCCTTCTCCTCGCTTGGTTCCGTGACCTCCGGAACCGTCTGCCGAAGCCAAGCGTCGCACTGTCCCTGGGCTAAGGTTTTGCATGGGAACCTCCTCTGCTTCCCGCTCCCTTCCCCCAAATTGAGCCGGGAGCTTCGGTTTGAGACGGGTTTTAGGGAGCTGCCAGACAGACGCCTGAAAAGCCCCTGTGAACATACCCACCGCTACGCTGTACCTACGCCTTCGGAACGTAGAGAGGTGCCCCTAAACCCTAAACCCTAAACCCTAAACCCTAAACCCTAAACCCTAAACCCTCAACCCTAAACCCTAAACCCTAAACCCTAAACCCTAAACCCTAAACCCTAAACCCTAAACCCTAAACCCTAAGGAGCCGAGTCCCCCCCAACTCTGCAGATGTCCGCAGGCAAGGCATGAAGGACGACTGGAACCGCCTTTGGCTTTCCTGGGCGCGTGCCAGCAGCCCTGCCGAGGACCCCAAACCTACAATCGCAAGGAAGTTAGGGTTTAGGGTTTAGGGTTCAGGGTTCAGGGTTTAGGGTTTAGGGTTTAGGGTTTAGGTTTAGGGTGTAGGGTTTAGGGTTTCCGAGTTTGGTCTTACATCCGAAGGCTGACCTATAGGCAGCGAAAGGATCCCACAGCTGGGTCTTTGATGACCGGTTTGCTTCAGAAGATAGTCCACTCTGGTGTCAGAGCTCGCCGGGCCAAGGTGGCCCACCCTCTGAAGACCCAAAAGTGAACACTTCTCGAAGACTGAACAGCAGCAGCCCAAATTGCCCCAGCATCCTCAACCTGCAACGCTCTCAACACTGAAGCCAAAGCCTCAAACCCTGCAAACCCGACGGACTCCCCAAAAAGTCTGCAAATCCCACTTGGGCCTCCGGGCGTCGTCTCGGCCATGGCAGGAACGAAGGCCGGTGCTGGCATCCTCCCAGGCATGGCGCCGCCTCTTCCAGGCCGCTGCGGGCATGAAGGCGGCCTTTTTGCAGGGTTTGAGTTCGCGGCTGCTCTGAGTTGATTGTGATTGATTGGTAGCTTTAAAGGTTTTTGATTCAGTACAGCAAGTGGCAGATGTATGACATGGACGAAGAGTGAGTGCAGGCAGTCTTCCCATCCACAGATCCTGTTTGGGAGCCCCTGTCGCAGCGGCGAGGGGAGTGTGAAGTCTACATGCAGCGCCTCTACGAAGCCGTGGTGCAGCGGCTTCGTAGCCACGTGCGGCTGCTGCGAGCAGCTGAGGAGGTAAGCAGGCTTGGCTCTCTCGGAACCATCGTCTGGGCCATCCTCTCAGATGGCCGCTTGCGTAGGAGCAACACTGAGATGAGGGAGCTACAAGCTACGATAAATGAGTCTTTAGGATGGAGTGCCTGCCCCTCGCACCTTGCAGCCGCCGTTGCAGAACTGGGCCGAGAAGGCGCTGAGCTAACCCTGGACTACGCGAGGAACCTCCTGGAGCAGTGTGAGAAGGCATGCGCATGGACAACGCCCGTGGACTGTGTGGAGTGGTGCGCCTCGAGCCCATGTGCGGAGACATCCCTTCGAGATGATCTCCAGGTGTCCCTGGACGAGCAGCCCCTGCAGAGATCCGAGGCTTGGACAGGGCAGACCCAATGCAAGGAGTCGGCATCACAGATGCCGTCGCTGTTCGTGTGGCGTGTGTACCATGAGCTCTGCAGCTGGCTGCTTCTCCCGCGTGTGGACGAAATTGCGCATGTCTGGGCAGGCCTGGCCAAGCGCGGTTGGGACTCTGAGCGCGTAGACTCCTTGTGGCTTCGGATACGAGGGCACACGCAGCCGGCGGCTCGAGACCTTGCGGCAGCTTGGTTCAATCAAGCCCGCGCAGGCAAAAAAGAGCCCGCAGGAATATCTCTGGGCATGCAAATCCTCTAACTTGAGGGTCCCACACATGGGTTTCAATGAGGGGTCTGCCGCAATTGAGATGGACAGAATCCCCAGAATCTTACCCCTACTAGTAGTATATAGCCGGGGATAATCAAGGGAGACTCTGCGGAACTTTTCGGGAAGCCCTGGACGTCGAGCTTGAGATTCTCGAGTGACCTGTGGCTTCGGCTTTCGGATGAGAATCTTGAGGATTGAGGTTTCGGAGTTCAGCGGTGGGACGCTTGAAATAGGTGCTGCTTGGCCTCTTCCATGAGATGCAACAGGACCCTTTCCGCTGACGACGCGATCACGGCCACAACGCTGCGCGGACAGCCAGGTTAGGAGGCCGGCAGTGTTGGGTTGATGTTATGGGTTTAGGGTTTAGGGTTTAGGGTTTAGGGTTTAGGGTTTAGGGTTTAGGGTTTAGGGTAGGGCTTAGGGTTTAGGGTTTCGGGGCGAGGTGCTTCCAGCCAGCAGATGGCTTCGAGCTTGTCTGCGTATTGTTGGCTTTGAAGTCGTATCAGTAGGCTCCGGCGAATCGGTATGCCCCCTTGTTGCTATGATAATATGACATAGAGTCTACCTCCGACGAAGTCCCGTTGCTGCATGCGTCGTTTGCATGCGGCATTTGCCCCTGGCAGGAAACGGCCTAAGGATTCATACAGCATTTCCATTTTGTTGCACTGGCAGTGGAGATTTCGTTGGGTGAGTCTTTCGCTGAGGTGCCGGCTTGCTTTTGGCGGGCACGCCGCGAAACGCCTCCTGATATAACGCGCAAAACGCTGGTACTTGCGGCGTTTCAGCCTCCTTGTACCACATACTGCGCAAGGATGTGGAACAAGACACATTGTCACAAGGGTCCATGCCTGTCGCAACCATGCCCACACGTTTACAGCGATTTGTACAACATGCTGCACAAGGATGTGGAACAAACAAAACTGTCACAAGCGTCCATGCCTTTGGCGACAATGCCCACAACACTGGTATTTGCAGTGTTTTCGCCTCTTTGTACCACGTACTGCACAAGCGTCCATGCGGTTTACGGAATCGTTTAGGGATATCTGGGCTTCAGGATTTAGAGCGGTTTGTGTTTCAAGATTTCGTTTTAGCCTGCAGTGCGGCTTGCGCAAACGCCACAACCATGAACACCCCCAACCCTCAAGTAACGTTTCCGTTTCCCGGGGCTCGTAAGATGTGGTTAAAACCTAGGGAAAGACCTAAACCCTAAACCCTAAACCCTAAACCCGAAACCCTAAACCCTAAATTAAACCCCAAAAAGCCATTCTGTCGAAATCGGCAAAGGGACTCGGATCCTGGTACACCGAAGCATGTGTGGTTGTCAAAGTTGTGGTCCCTTTTTGGATCCCTATTGGAATACGGCCCTAAACCCTAAACCCTAAACCCTAAACCCTAAACCCTAAACCCTAAACCCTAAATATTGCGCTACGACTCGAGTTTTTGTTCACACGCTACATGCGACTTGCAGCCCCCTAGCGCCAACAGGCAAAATGACAGGAGTCGTTTTTTGGCGCGCCACCTTGTTTAAGGATCCCTTGGAATGGGCACTCGCTAGCACCCGCGTCAAACCGCAAAATTGCAAATTGTGTCAGAACCAGAAATCTTCAATCCCCTAAACCCTCAACCCAAAACCCTAAACCATCCTAAACCCTAAACCCTAAATCCTAAACCCTAAACCCTAAACCCTCTGCACCTTGGAGCACCGGAGGCCTGTTCCACTTCTGATGCCGTTGCTCCGTTGCCCCGGTGCCAGTTCTCTGCGAGGGGTCTAGGATGACGCACCAAAGGCCCTAGGCCTTAGGGTTTAGGGTTTAGGGTTTAGGATTTAGGCGGTTTTAGGGTGTAGGGTTTAGCACCACCGAAGCCCAAACCCTAGGCCTGCCTGCACATCCTCAACCCCAAAACACGCAATCCCGGTCCCTGGAAATCCTGAGGCTTTCCACTTAAATAACCATAAAATACCATAAATAACCTTCTAAACAACCATAAATATCTTTAAATAACCTGAAATAACCGTAAATAATCCTAAATAATCCTAAATAATCTTAGATAACCCACAAGAAACGCCTTCAAGCGCGTATTCTAAAGCCTGTAGACACCCCGAAAACCTTTGTCCCGATCAACCTTCAGTCCTGCATCCTCTCGGTTTAGGGTTTAGGGTTTAGGGTTTAGGGTTTAGGGTTTAGGGTTTAGGGCCCAAGAACCTCGCAGTCTGGACAGCCAGATGACAGCAGGGAGTGAGAAACGCGACTGCCGATCATGCTTTCTGGGCTGGCAGAACCCATCAAAGTGCTAGGTTTGTTGAAGGGCGGTCTTGAATACTTGATTAGGGTCGAACCGACCGAATATCTGTTTACAAACTTCCAGAAACTGGCCAGAATAGATTCAGTGTCGATTGTAGATGAAACCAGTACCGACAAGGTCCGTACGGCAAAGGCTTGGCGCGTTGGTTTACACTTGGGTTTGGATTTAAGTTCTGGGCGTCGGATTTATGGGCCCCTGCATGTATTTGCACCACGACCCAAGAAGGGAACCGACCGCCGGGTTGGAGGGTTGGATCTGTTGCGCAGGTGCTGAGTAGACAGCTGGACCTACATCCCAGAACACGACGTGCTGAAGCCGCCCGACATCCAAACCCTTAGCCTGAAATTCCGGACCCTGTAAGCCCTAAGAGCCCACCAACCCTAGGAGAAGGCAAGGAAGCGCCAAACCGGGGGGTGCATGTTACAGCTTAGTAGCATCATGAGTAGGACCCAAGTTGTAAATGCCCGTGGGCGGCCCAGTACAGTCATGACTTTCCACAATCAACACACGCCTTAGGATCCCTGTTCAAGATGAGATCCGTAGGCAAAAGGCCTTCTACTGGGCTACGCATACTCTAGATTCCTTGCACGGGAGAGTTTCGGCAATGGCCTCCCCCCGCAACAGCGATGAGGCCCGCGTCTGGGCTTCAGGGTTGCGCTTCGGTCGGTTGCCAAGGGAGTGCAATGAGGGTTTAGGGTTTAGGGTTTATAGGGTTTAGGGTTTAGGGTGATCGCAACACACTGAATCCGGCACTTGCCCATGGAAGCCGCATGCGCCGACAGGGAGGGGAGGGTTCGTTTTCGATGGGCGGACGTCTGTCTACGTGAGGTGCGTAGTAGACCGGCACTCGGGCAAGCTCATCAGGGGCAGCAGTGTTTCCTGCATGAAGGTTTCCCATGTTGCCTGCAACATACTAAGATGCGTATATATCAATGCATGGACATATGAACATATTGTCGTACTCAACATAATAGAAGATAAGCAGAATGTTAACATGCAAATTTATAAGCTTATGAATATATTAAGATCTGAATACATCAACATTCATGTATTAACATATTATCATGTTAACGTATCAGCATGTTAAGATATTCGTATAGGCATATACTAACAGTAACGGGTAAATATAGTATCAGATGAAGATATGAACATATGAACATAGTAGTATGTTGCTTTCTTAACATTCTTTTCATATACGAATAGATGTGTATACTTTATATGAGTTGGTTCATTTGTTCGTATTATCATAATTGTCATATTCATGTATTGTATTCATTTCATTTATAATTTTAATTTTGTGAATAAAAAATGTTTGTGATCGACCCGCTTCGCGTTTTTTTTGCAATTTTTCCTGCAAAATGTACTGGACCTCCAATTGTGTTAATCAAATGGTTTAAGCAATGTCGTTGTTCAGCTTGACAGGAAACTACGGTTTCGGGTTTAATGGTATGTGTTAGTTCTAACTTTTCATACTCAAAGATATTGGGTTTGGAGCATACTCCGCTATCGGTTCCCACGGGCAAGTAGCGCCTTTGTTGGACACAATCTTGGTCAAATACCAGCTCCCATGCGAAATTATTAGAACGTTTTCGATACATGCTAGCACAATACTCGTTGTTACGAATATAGCCAATAGTACAACTCTTAAATACTCATGCAAAGGCTACTTGAATTCAAGTGAAATTTGCATAAAAGCTCAACGGCTTTCAAAATCACATGCGCATTACATGCTAGCTAAATGCCAGCTATTTAGTATGCTTAGAGCCCCCAGAAAGCACAATCGTCCTTAATACACAAAATTTGCCTAGTAAAGGCCTCGGGAGTATCTCTTGGGAAATGTGGGCTTTTGGATGTTTAGACATGTTTAGGCAAAATTTGCGTGCTTGTTTCTAGGCACAAAAGCGCGCGTTTCCAGGCAAATAGTGCAAAATGTTGATTCCATGCTAATACGAAATAAAGGCTATTGATGCACCTAGTTTTCATACTAATGACATTCATTGCATGTTTATTTACTACCCACAGTTGCGATTGCCTAGACACGAAACCATATATAAACCGAATATCAGCATCTGGTAACATTTGTTTATAACAGCACATACATACAAAACAGTTTCATTGCAACTATTAGTGGTGTTTTTGGCACATTATGAGTTTATGCTATTTGGCAGCCTACCCGTGGTCGGCCAAGCCCTCCTGGCACAGACGCAACAACAGGGTTTAGGTTTTAGGGTTTAGGGGTAGGGTTTAGGGTTTAGGGTCTAGGGTTTAGGGTTTAGGGTTTAGGGTTTAGGGATAACCCAATCATGGTACAGTTTTTTCCTGTTGGGATTCTGGGAAATTCCATTGCCATAGCTGCAGGCCATCCAAAACGATTTGGACCGGACCTTTGCCGACATACCCATGGCCCGGGGGCTGAGCAGAAAATTGCAGTGCTCAGGGTCGAGAAGTCAATATCTTAACCCGGGGTTCTGTCATAGTTAGATCGGCTTTGGAGTGCAGGCGCCGTTCCTGCACACGTCCTTCAACGTAGCAGACATCAGGTACAAATCGAGCCCGCGAACCATTTCAACGGTTTTTCACGCCTCCTGCCACTGCCCAGTGCGCGCCGCTGAAGCCGCAGATCTTCAGTATTCTCAAGGCAGGCGGTTGGGCTGGGCAAGAGGGGGAAAGGGGAGGGGACTGAAGAC